TACTAATAAAATAATCTAAATTAAAAATATATGGAATAAAAAAAGATATAAAAAAATATTATTTATTATTATTAAACTTAGTATTATTTTTGGACTAGTAAGATGTAGGCAATAAAAGAACTTGAATCAATAGGTTTTAGAAAGTATTCTAAGGTGGATCAAAAATATCTAATTCATTTATGAAAGTAAAATTTGTTCTTTAATGAAAATATTATAAGATACTTATAATGAAGAATTTCTTAAAAGTAGAGATATAAAATAAAAAGTAAAACTTACAAGAAAAAAAAGAAAGAAGAAAAAAATATATGAAAGAAATGTAATGAAACTAATACACCTTTCAAAACTTGTCACAACTTATTTACTAGATTTTTACTTAATATATATATATATATATATATATATATATATCCAGATAATTATTTTATCTTTTTAATTATGTAAAAATTTTAAATTCAAGTTGCTATGAATAATTCATGAAAGATGAGAAATAAATAGTATAAATGAAAAAAAATGAGTAATTGGATTTGACCTCAATAATAACTTATTTAGGTAGTCAAGAATTTGAGTCTAATCAAGAATTAGAAGTGGTGTGTAAGGTGTATTAGAAGAGCCACAAGGCCTTAGTCTTATCCTCCTACCTACATCAAAGGTACTAAAACCTTTGACTTATTAAAATTTTATTTTAAAGGATTATTTTTGTTTCTCAGACTTTTATTATGTAAGGACTTAAATAACCTTATAATTTTATATAATTTTATAATTTTATAATTTTATATAAATAATATAATTTTTATAATTATTTAAGGTGCTAAAACCTTTGACTTATTAAAATTTTATTTTAAAGGATTTTTTGTTTCTTCAAAATATAATTATATAAGGACTTAAATAACCTTATAATTTTATATAATTTTATAATTTTATATAATTTTATAATTTCATATAATTTTATAATTTTATATAATTTTATAATTTTATATAATTTTATAATTTTATATAATTTTATAATTTTATATAATTTTATAATTTTATAATTTTATGATTTTATAATTTTATATAAATAATATAATTTTTATAATTATTTATAATTTTATAAGGATTTTAAAATTATAAGGTTATTTTATTATATAATTTTTAATTCGTATTTTAAAAAATAAAAAATCCTATAAATTAGATTTTTTACTTTAATAATATTAATATATCATTTCTAATAAATCTACTAATTAAAATATTTTAGAAGGATTCACATTATTCTACCAATCATATGAAAGTTTGATCAATGTAAGCCAAAGTTAACTATGCAATAAATTTTATGCATAATTTATTTTTTTGTTGCTAAGTATAATTTTAGTAATAATATATATTTTTATTTATATATTTATATAAATTTTAATATATATTTTTTAATTTAATATCCAAAAATTTAATAATCTCTATTTCATAATATTTTTTATCTCCACTAAATATATTCTATAGTGGTAAGTTAATATTTATATTACTTAATATCTAATTTATTTTTCACAATTTATTTAGATAAATAGCCAACCATCTAGCAATATGTGACTAAGATTCAAAGACATATAGACAAAAATCAATGGTTGTAGTAGTTTATGCAAAAGATATTATATACTATAATAATATTATACTATAATTTAAGACCTCAAGAATTTTATTCAATACTATAATAGCCTTTGCAAGGTGATAATGTTTTTTTTCTACTAAACTTATAAAGTTACAAACAGATTATTATACACATCTTTAGTATTAATCCAATGAAGCCAATTAATGGTTGATCTACTATTTTGAAGCAAAATGATTTAAAATTTTACATTAAAAATCTTAATTTCATTCTTTCTTCTTTATAGTTGAGATTAATATCTTATGTCTTGTAAAATAAAACATAATTCAAAGTACCATTGCTAATATTGGCAAACAAATAGAAAAGTCTCAATTGAATATTATTTCTTCTTTCGATAAAGTATTTTTAGTATTTAATAAAATATTATATTAAGGAATGCGCAAAGCTATATTTGTTTTTAGATTCAATCAAAATGCAACTAAAGAATAAATACTATGATTAGTCTTAGGAAGAGTCTATTGCCAATATGAATACTTTTTTTCTTTAATGGCAATTTTTTTTGATCTTATTATTGTTTTACTTCTATTGAATCAAGATTCTTATGAGATCTCATAAGATATGAAATAATATGACCTGAGTTGGACTTTTGGTAAATTTATTTTATTTATCTCCTAAAATATATATATATTTTTTCTTTTTTATTATGATCCTATAAATCATCTATAATCTAAGCCTATTATGTGCTCTACTTATACATTATTTCTTGAATCTACCCTATTATTTGTCTTGCTGTTCTTCAAGCCCTATTAGAGTTTTGGCAACAACAATAGATCCAAGCAGTATTGACTAAACAACCACATCAAACTAAGATTAGAAATAATAATAATATGTTCTAAAATAAGCATATAAAGAACATATAATTTTAAACTAAATAACCTAATATGTACTATTATTATTTGTAAATAGTAGTAAATAAGAATTATTTTTAATTTAATTTATAAATTAAAAATAAATCTAAAATTATAAATTAAAATAATTACCAAATAATTATATCTTAAATATTAGAATAATAGTAAAAATAAATTCGCATATTATAATAATCTATATAAAAAAATAATTTTGATTCTTTTAAAGTATCAAGATTAAATTTTATATTGTACAAAATGATTTAAACACAAAATATTGATTATAATAATCTATAATAAGTTTAATTATTCAAAAATAATAATTTAATGTTATATTTTGAAAATAATAAATATAAATTATAATATATCTATTATATTATAATATTAAATATTTACTTAAAGTCTTTCATCAAAGAATATAAACTCTACTTTGGTGATAATAGATATTATGTTAGAAAATGAAAAAAGTATTATTTGTTTTGAAAATAGACTTTTTAAAAATAAATATATTCAAGAAAAATGAGTGTCTTTTAAGACAAATGGATTGAGCAAAAATTAAATTCTTTGTACATAGATTTATAAAATAATTATATTATTTTATTTTTAATATAATTATTATTCTTTTAAAAAATTAGATATGATAATAGCAAAAATGAAATAAAAATTTAAAATTTAAGATAAGAATGGATAAAGAATCAGTTGTTTGTACAAGATAAAAATATCACTTATGCCTATGGATACAATGATGCTTAATTCAACTAAATAATATTGCTTTAGAATTTTCATATAAAAATTGTATTCCATAAGAAATAATGCATAAATAAAACATAATAAATTTATATATGGATTACCTTGCTAATCCTTGTTTAATAAATATATTCAAAAGGAAGATTATACTTACAAATGATTAAACTTATTAAAAAATAGTCACTTGTTAGAATTAAATGTATCAAACATGTTTTATTATTGGTTTGGATAACTTATTTTATGCATAATCTTCAAATGTGTTTAATTATTTAATAACTCCTTTACTAGCTTTCTTTTACCACAATTTTTTTTTCAATCAAAATAAGATTGTACGAATTTATTCTAAATCATTTAAATTATTTTTTCATATAATTTTGTTATTTTTTTCATTCTTTATTTACTTTATAAATATTTATTGTTATATTTAGATTGTACAGTATAAAAAAGATATATATATATATATATGTATATATTTTTTTGGAAACGTTGAAGTTGCTTTAATAAAGTGTCAAAACAAATATGATATACATCATTGTGAATCTTATATTTATTTTTAAGGAGCACCAGCATCGTTTCATTTTTCATTCTAATTAAAAAAATACTGACGTTCTCTGAAAAATGATTAAATGACACACACTAATTCAAACCAATTTAATCATTTTAATTCTTATATGCATGTTTCTAGTATAAGAAAAAAATTGTTACAGAACGAAGGTTTATGGTGTCATTATACAAATTAAACATTGTCTTCAGTTAAGTTTGCAAGTGCTAATATATGTATACATATAAATGTGAATGTGCCTGGGTATGTATATCATTAAAATACAGATTATCATGTTAGTGCGAAATTGTAAATAAAAAATGTGAAGTATAGTGGATACAAAATTTTGACTAAGTTTTGGTAAGGATTCATATTGTAATGATAATTATACAGATATTCCTGAAATTATATAAATAACCGAAGTACAACTTTGAAGGTTTTACTTGATCTTATCAAAATTTCAAAGTTAAGTAAATAAATAAATACTTGGATGTGTGTGATTGCCTACAATTTCGTTCCTTCCTGGTCGTGTGTCAATTATACACCAATTAGACAAGTTGTTGCCCCAGGTTTGCAAAGGCCGAAACGGGAGGCACAGAAACCTGGTCGCACATACATCTCTCTCTGTCTCTGGGTGGCTATTTTGTTCGTCTGGTCTCCCTCCGTGTTCGGCTTGACATGACCGAAACCACTCACTCACTCCCGCCTTCCTTCCTGATCAACCCTCCAAACAGGCAAACAAACAAACAATTGACCAGACAGACTTACTTCCCTAGGCTAGGCTATATCATTTGTGCAGCAGCAGCAGCAGCAAGGGGGAGAGAGAGAGGGGGGAGGGAGAATGAAGTGCGCTCTCTCGCTGACTTACTCGTAGTTCATTATTTTTGTTCGTTTGACACGTATGGAGTCGTTCCGCCGCTTGCATTGTGGAATATTATAAGAGAGTGTGTGTACAAAAAAGACCTGCTGCTGCTATGATCTTACCATCATATGCCCTCTTAGTTGTAGTTGGGAACCTGGTGTGGTGGTGATGGATTTCAGGTTCGGAGATAAGCGGTTCGGTGGAGGGGGGGGGGGGGGGGTTACAGAAGAGGATGGAGGATTCTTCTTCCTCTTCGTTTCCTTCCTTGGGAGGCATCATCCATTCCCTACTAGTCACTTTCCATCCTACCCAGTGTGAGCGAGAACTGGTGGATGGTGATTCAACGCGGCCTTCCTTAGGCTGTGGCCCCGTGCTCGAGGAGCGCTCCTCCTCCCGCTAGTTAGTGTGCTGCTGTCCCTGCTCCTCCTCCTCCCTCTCGAAGAAGACTTTCTGTGTCTTCCGAGAGTTACTCTTTCGTAGAAGTAACATCCCGGTCCATCCTGGTTTTCTACATCTTCGTCGGAGTGGAGTTCTTCTTTGTCTGTTAGCACCCCCACCTCCTCCACCTTGGAGAGTTACTCTTTCGTAGAAATAACATCCCGGTCCATCCTGGTTTTCTACATCTTCGTCGGAGTGGAGTTCTTCTTTGTCTGTTAGCACCCCCACCTCCTCCACCTTGCTTTCGGGGTTCCTTCTGTTTTTGCATCCTTCGCACCCGACTATTCTTCTCTTCTCACTCTCTCTCGCTCTCTCTCTCTCTTTCCTGTGCTTTGTTGGATTCCCAGTCCCCCTCTGCCTCACCATGTCTTGTCTGCTCTGCTCTGTTTTTGCTTTCCATTTGCATCATATTTTTGTTCCCTCTTTCGATGCGTAGCGTATTCCTCATCTCGGAAGCCACGTTGCAGGTGCCCCCCCCCCCCCCCCCCCAAAAAAACCTTGTCCGTCTCTGGATCCACAACATCTGGCCCCTTCCCGAGGTGGAGAGCGATCGGGCAGATTGGGTTGTCACCATCGTCCGAAGCATTGCGCATTTAAGGCAGTGTAACGAGGTCTTTCGGCAAATTGGCTTTCTTCATTGCAACTGTTATTGGAGCAGCTTACAGTAGGACGCACCAGGACCCTCAAAATTTAGGGCAGAGCGACAGGTGGTGATCGCTACAGATTTTGACTTTGTAGCAGCAACATCAGTGATGGATTCCTCGCACGGTTCCTCCCATGGTTCCTCGCACGGTGGTGTGGATTTCCGTTCCTTTCGGCAGATAACCCGAGATCGTGAGAATCTTTCCTTTTTATAAACTTGCGAACCGTCTCACAAACACAAGTTGGAAATCATTTCCCATATGGCAGTGGATTTCTAAGCCGATTTGGAGCCATTTATGTATGCACTAGATGATCATATACTTTTAAACGCGGATTTTCCATGTATAAGTAACTGCATAATCTGTACTGGCCTAGTAGTGTTCATTTGCTCATACTATCTCCCAAGTCTCTCAATTGTCCGATTGCTTTCTGCTGTTTACAAGTGCTTTAGTTAGTCTAAGAAGCATCGCGAGGTCCTGATGGGTCTGGTGAGTGTCTGTTAAAGCTGACACTAAATTTGAAAATCAATGTTTAGGTTGTCCCTCTCCTGCAATTTTGGGGGTGTGACTAAGTATCTAAGATTACAGTTCCTTTCGAATCGAATGATTATGTTCACGTATGTTTAAAACCCTATTTGGCAACCAACTGAAGTGGTTGCCCCAGTAGCGCACAGAATATTGTTATTATTGTATTCCATTGCGTATGAAGATTCCTGAAGGATTTCACTATTTGAACTTCATTTCTTTGTTCGTCAGAATGGGGTTTTACTTGAGGTATTCTTGTGTTGTTTTCATTAATGTCGACTTTTACTCTTGTTATTACTCAAAAACCAACAACCAACCAGATTTATTGACCATTTTTTCATGGGTTGTCAAAGTGCACTCTGAACTGCATCCAATCTTGGTTCCTACTGAGTGCGTATAATTATAAACTTGTGTCCCGTGCAGGGCTTCTGCAAGAGATGCTGAAGACAGCTAGGACTGGCAAGGCATCAGCTGAATGGAAGGTCAGTTGTTATTGATTTTCAGAGCTGCCTGCAAGCTATAGAAGCTATTTAACCGGCATCTGCAGTGATCCTAACCAAGGGTCTTCATAAGGCGGGGATGTTACTATGGTTTGCTCGACTATAAGAATTCCTTCACGGACTTGCTTTGTTCCTGCTTTGCGCCTTTTATGGCTTCTTGCTATTAGATGATACATAATTACACCCGTGCCGAGTTGCAACATGACGAGTGGTTCTTGAGATACTTTGAATTTTTTCCGGCACGTGTAGAAAAAATTGCTGACGTTGGTCGTGGAAGTTCTTTAGAATTGGCAATCAAATTGAGAAGTGTTATGTAAATTTTGCACAGGTGCTTATAATGGACGAAGTGACAGTTAAAGTGATGTCATGCTCATGCAAGATGGCCGACATTACAGATGAAGGGATCTCGTGTATGTACTTCTTCCATGAACATTATGGCTAGTTATTGTTGCTATACTACCAAAGAATTATTTACATGTATACAGGTAAAGTCATGATGCATGGAATAGGCACAGGAATGAAAGTTTGTATTCTGGGTCTTTGTGGCAGTGGTAGAGGATTTGAACAAACGCAGGCAACCCCTACCTGCTCTCGAATCAGTCTACTTTATACAGCCATCTCATGACAGGTTTTGCAACCTTTCTTACAATCTGCAATAGAAGTCTTGGATGTCTTTTTTTGATTTTTTCTCAAACTCACACTTCTTGGATTTTTCTACAGAAGAGTGATTTTAGATTGTTAAATTGGTTGGTCTCGTCAGATTTTACTGAAACAAAGTTGGAAAATTGATAACGGGGATTTCAGTTTTGTTTTTTATTCTTCCCTTTTTAACTTTCTAATTACTTATTTGAACCATGCAGTGTTCGAAAATTTATGCTGGACATGTCAGGGAAAACACCTCTGTATAAAAAGTGAGTTATCACTTCAGCTGTTTTGCAAGACAGACGTACTTTATGCTGCAATGGTAGTGAATGTGTTTAGTGTACTCTCGTGTGGGTGGGCATACAGCGGGTTCCTTCAAACGTGATGCTTATGCACTGTCTGCGAAGGACGCAAAGAAAATCTCGTAAAGCATTACACTTCTAAGCGCGTGCGGGTGTTGCTACGTTTCACTATGGCATTGATGGTTTCATTTACTTGGACTACTAGAATTTTTTGGGTTGGAAAAGAGGTACATTCAGAATTTCTGTTGGTCATGTAGAACTATATTTGGCATCTAATTGGGTTTGGATTTGTCAGAGCATATGTGTTTTTCAGTTCACCGATTAATCGCAATCTGCTTCAACAAATCAAGGGTGACCATTCTGTTTTGTCCCGAATTGCAGCACTTAGAGAGGTAAGCAGGCTGATAATTGAAGGCTGTCTTTTATCTACACCTGTTGATTCACAGTCAGACATCAGGATATCTTCGAAGTACAACCATTTGATTCAGTGTCAGTGCATTTTTGAGAGAGGTCATTTTTTAATAGCTGCATATTATTTGATGTTGTATTTATGCAGATGAATTTGGAGTACCTGACCATTGACACACAGGTATTTCTTAAAGGCGCCTCTATCTCTTCCACTAACCATCTTCATCACGAGCAGTGTACTGCATGACGTTTGTTACTTCTTACTTTCCTACAACAGGTTCTCTGAATTTGTATACTGTTACAGTTTACTAGTGTTGCTTGTTCATGTTTTACTTCCATACGTATATTCTGTCAATTGAAAAAATATACGTTTTGAGGAAATTTTCTGCTGCAGGGCTTTACAACCGATAACGATTCTGCCTTAGAGCAGTTGTTTGGAGAGCACACCGAGAGTACACGAGACTATGACGCTTGCATTGAGACTATTGCTGCTCGACTGTCGACTGTATTTGCATCCTTGAAGGTATCGGGAAATCATAATACTTGTGTGCCTTCGTCTTAGTTTGCAACTCGTTTCTGCTAGATTTTTGGTAGTTCTCGGACATCTCGATGCTTGTTTTTAGTGACCGAACTGTTAGCAGCTCTTATATATCAGTGTTAGTTTCATTCTCTTGCTAATAGATTTCATGGTTGCCATTTAAGGAGTTTCCATATGTGAGATACCGTGCTCCTAGGTCAGCTATGGATGCCTCTACGGCCACAACAGCTCGTGAATTAGTACCAACAAAGGTAGCTGCTGTGTTGTGGGATAAGCTGATGAAGTACAAAGCATCCTTACTCAATTTTCCTCAATCGGAGACCTGCGACCTCATCATTGTTGATAGATCAATTGACCCAGTAAGGCGTCTTCTTTTAAATGTTTGGGAGTTTAGGTTAGTGCACCATAATGTTGAATCTTAGGACGTCCTATGCTTTTGCCGTTTCCTTACCCTTCGAATTTTCGTGTAGACAAAGAATACAGTTTTGTCTTTCACAGCAGATCAATGCACACTTGCTCAACATTGTGCTGCATGTTATCAAAAAGATCACTTTTGACAATGTGAAGATTTCCATCCAATGAATTATTGCAGGTGACTCCGGTTATACATGAGTGGTCGTATGATGCAATGTGCCATGATCTTTTGAATTTAGAAGGCAACAAGTATTCTTACGAGGTATGGAAAACATATTTTCTTCAGTTAATGGGCCTCATTTTGCATAGATTATGCGGCATCGTTGACTATGGCAGTAAATTGTTCTGGAACCAGGTTTAGGGTTTTCTTTTTTTGGTGCATCGTGTATCCAAGAGTTTGTCCATAGTAGTGACTCTTTTGCAGAGTCTCTAGTAGAATTTGGTGGTGACTTAGATCAGGGGAAATCGAAAGAACTTGGTCATTTCCTTGTTTTTTGGTAAAACTGCAGATATCGATTGATGGCAAGAGGGAGCGCAAGGAGGTGTTACTGGAGGAGCACGATCCTGTTTGGGTGGAAGTGCGCGATCTCTTCATTGCTGATGTGCGTAATTTTAGGTCCTCTAATCCTCGAATAATCCTCGGTTTAGCTGCCGCAATCGACAGTTGTCAAATCGAATATAACCCGTGTTTTATTGCTCCAACAGGCAAGCAAGCGAATTGCGGATAAAATGGCTTATTTTACCAGCAAAAATAAAGCTGCTTCACTGCAACTGGGTGCGAGGTACAGTGCATTTCACTTGTACAGTTGCTTTGTTCGTTGTGAAAGAAAATGTACACCTAACTGGCATTTTTTATGTTATGCTACTCGCCGTCCAAAAGAAGATTTAGATTCAGAAATTCTGTAGCACACGTGAGTGATGCACTGAGGATTTTGAATTGAATTTTCCCAATAGTTTGGATTAGTTTTTCGCTGACTAATTAGCAGCTCCCAATTTGTAACAGGGAGGGTCAGGTACTTTCAACAAGGGACATGAAGCAATTGGTGCAGGCACTTCCCCAATATCGGGATCAAATTGACAAGCTTAGCCTTCACGTGAATGTATGTTACCAACCTATGATTCTTAGTCTCGACTACTGGTTACTGAAGGATTTTAGTATTATTATTTGTTGATACTTTTTGTAATTGCAAGAGTGAAGTGATAGTTTATCTGCAGATTGCTTTTTCGCAGAACTTGTTTGTTCTCTTCTCAAAGTACTGGATACTCAAAAAGTTGTACTTTGTTCTAGATTGCTTCTACGCTTAATAACAAGATTATACAAGAGGGGTTGGCGGACATAGGCAATCTGGAGCAAGAATTTGTCTACGGCGATGCTACTACCAAGGAACTCATCGGCATACTCAATAATAATCCGGTGCACATATTCTCTTCATCAATCATTCCTGCATCCCAGTCTTTTATTGGTCTTTGTAGCAGTCGCTACATGGTTTCAACTGTAGGATTACTGTTCTGGATAGGTTTTGTACATGATTCCTGCTGAAGTCATACTGGCATGTGATCTTGACGTATGCCTCCATTACTACTTTTGTGAAGTGGCACTTTATTCATGAGATAGACATGGGGTTAACGCAGGAGATGAGTGCAGAATGCAAGTTACGTCTTCTAATGATCTTTGCAGCTACTCGTCCAGAGAAGCTAGACGCAAATAAGCGGAAGCAATGGCAGCAGGTACATGGTGGCCTAGATACCTATTCATTTCAGCTTTTACAATATTTTGAAAGCTCTGTTATAGCTTCCCTTGCGCTGCATGTTTCCTTGTTGCTGTCATCAGCATACGATTTTATAAAATTCGCTGATGTTTTCACTTTCGGCAATTGTGCAGCTAGCGAAGTTGAGTGATGAGGATATGAATGCTGTAAATAATTTGGAGCTCTTGGGGATTCAAGCGCCAAAAAAACAAACATCATCTGGAGTCGAAAAGTTTGCTTTGAAGTTTGGGGCTAGGAAGGTGAAGCATGAAACACTTCTTTTTTAATGTTTAATGAAGTTTGTGAAATAGCTTCTTCTAATTTGTGTCACGATCAGGCTAAACGACCTGCAAGAAAAGCAAAAGAGTTGGATGAAGATGGCTATACACTTTCAAAATTTTATCCACTACTTCAGGTACACTTACGATTGACTAGATTTATCGTTGTAGGTTGCAGTTACGATGTGGATACAAATTGTGCTTCATTTTTCTTTTATTATCGTCAGTTTTATTGATCGAACGATTCGTATTTTAATTTATGGGTCATCACTCGTTTCTTGGCTGTTCAGGATGTGGTGGAGGAAATCGATAAGGATAGTCTTTCTAGAGAGGAGTATCCTTATGTTAAGGACCCTGCTGGCAACAGCCTCAATTCTTCCTCGTCTCCCTCGACACGCCCACCTGCAAATCCCAACTCCAAACCTGTACAGTCTAGACGCACTGTCGGCAAAACTGGGGGTACTACATGGGCATCGAAAGGCAGGGCATCGTCTGAAGAAGGATACTCAAGGTTCGAATTTTCTGTGTCTCGCTTAAAGCTCAAATTCCTAGAGAAATTTTTGGTTTTGATTTGTAGAAGCTATCAATCTAGCGATGAAGTAATAACTGTCAATTTTCCATGGATCTTGTCTAAGCTTGTTGTATTTGACCGCAGCGACTCGGTATTGAGGCATGCCGTCAGTGATCCTAAAATCAATGGAAAGCGCATATTTTTGTTCGTTATAGGAGGCATGACAAGATCTGAGGTGAGAACTCAGTTGCTACTATCTTTGTTGGATTTGAAGATCGCATTTTTGTTCATGCTTACATTGCATCAGTTCGGGCGGGTGCACTGTACTTTCAGCTAATCATCTATTACGGATTTGACGTGCAGCTACGAGTAGCTCACAAACTGACCCCGCAGTTGAAGCGAGAAGTTGTAATTGGTTCCACGAATATTGATGATCCACATCAGTTCATCCGGGTACTTTTTGCTTCCGTCATATTTTGTTTGACATGCATTTTTATCCGATTTGTGTGTGTTGAGTAGTAAACCTTCTCATCGGATGCTGTGTTCGTATTTTTCAATTGAAGTTTGGGATGCATCTTCTAGATGTCCTTCATTCGCCTTTCACAGCAATGTGGATCTGGTTGCAGAAAATGAAGAACTTGGGCAAATTAGAGATGGACGACTTTTGATGTGAAGGAGCACGAAGGAATTTTTGGTACCTGGTATTGCAAAGTTATAGATGCATTTTTCCTATAGCTGTAATTTGCTCTTGATGAATTCGGGAGGCATGTTAAGGTTCTGTTCAGCACTATTCTTGAAATTATCACCCTGAGCCATCACAGGTTGATATTTGGGCACGAGTATCTCTCTTGTGACATGGAGTTACCATGGTGCTCATGTTGGGTTGTCAAATGTGTGTTCCATTTGGCATGAAATGAAATTGTCCTGGGTTTGGGTGCATTTAATTCATGTTAAGTTATGAGCTTTCTTGATTGGGTTCTTGACGATGAATTAAATGTAGTTTTCAAACCTCATTTCTTAAATCATTATGTTTTAAGGAAACTGGCTTAAAACTAAGATTTTAGCTTAATTTGGCTTTATTTTCCATTTGCTTGTGCATAGTCGTGCACAATCTTTTTTGTCGTCTAAGTGTAGCTCATTGTAAATATTGTTTAGCACAACTTATTGAAAATCGCTGCATTTACTTAGAAAATTTTATCGATTGGATTCAACTTTGAATTCTCAAACACAACTTTATAAATGAATATACATGTAGGGCGAGAAGATGAACTGTTAAAAAACAAGTCACGTGATTGAGATCCTTTTTTTTATCACATATATTATCATTAAGAAAACGTATCTGCTATGGTAAAAATAAATGTGCAACTTATTACGTCATAGTTGGTCAAAATAGTCTGGAAGTAATATTTACATCTTTGAGTTTGAATATGTTTAACCAAACACTTTTGACGGAATTAGGTCAAACGAATGATGTTCTGAAAACCTATTACAGCAAATTTACCCTAGTGTCTAACATGCACTTGCCCGAGTGTCAATTTACTACCATTTTACTACCATTGTTATTGCTTATAATTTTTTTTTTTTAATTTTTTTGCAAATTAAAACAAATATTTTTTATTTATTAAAAATAGGTAGGAAGATATTTTATAAGAAGATAACCATTAAATTGTACAATGTACGATGACAATTTCAAAACTACTAAAATAGATATATGTTTATTTTTCTAATATATAAGTGAGTTATTATTTTATGACAACTTGAATTCTTTTGGAAGTTGTTCTACTATAATCTTTAGCCACAACTTTTTTCTCATGCGTACAAATTTGAAGATAAAATATTTTTTGATATTATACAACCTATCTTTTAGTTACAATTTTTATTTTTGAAATTTTTATATTTATATTTGAATTTATATTATAAATAGAAGTCTTAATTAGTCTAATTTTTTTCCAATATTCTACTCAAAGAAATTAAAGAAATATATTGATACAACCATCTTAATTAAACTATTTTATTGTTATTAATATTATATAATTTAATTATGAATATTTTATAAATAAATAATTAAAATATTTAGAATAATCAAGAAAAATTTAGAATATAATTGATCCTTGTTTTTATCTGAACATATCCTAATTCAATATTTTAATTTTGAACAAACCATAAAATTTACACTACTTGTATACTTATAGATTGTTGAGGCTTTTTAAATTGATATAATATATGCCATCTTAATTAACTACATTTTTTGTGTATTTATTTTACAACAATCATATTCATGGTTCAGCTTAAAATAATTTTACTACTCGATTTATTACAAGTAACTACTATTAAAAGTAAATATTTGTAATTCAAACATTTAAAAGGATTGAATATAATTTATTTTGTCTTTGATTTCTCATGTTGGAAGTTGATAATTTATTTTGCTGGATGTAGAATCACATTGTTGAATGGATTTATTTAGAATTGAACAACATATTTCTTACTCTTGATGTTTTCTTTTGAATTGGTATTTTTTGTCATTAAAGTATTATTGTAGTATCTTAAAATTATTGTTTGGCTAACTTAGATCTTTGTAAAAACACATAATAACTATCCTATAAACTTTAAATTCTTTTTTATATTTAATGTAAATTCAAGTCTTGAAAGTAATACATAGAGGATTTTTATCTAGTTATTTGTAATGATGCAAAATCACTTGTTTCTTCAAATAATAATTATAATTAACAAACCCACATATCATTGTTAAAATTGAATAGAGAAATTATAGTAGTTCTTGTCAATTTGTTGTTAGGTGTTATAAAACCCACTTTTTTCTTTTGTCAAAACTATTTTTTATAAATAATCTTTTAAGTGGTCTAACCAAATGTCAACTTCACAATTATTTTAATACAAAAAAGTAGTGTTTATTTTTCTATGGCATTTTAAGATTTTTTTGCATATACAAAACACAATTTTGTCTATTATTAGACTAAAACTTATCTTAATGGTAATTTAATATAAAACTAAAATCAACTTGGAAGAAGAAGAAAAGAAAAAAAGAAAAAAATTTGTGCAGATTTGCACACATTAGAACTGAAGATACAAAATAGTTAATTAGGTTAACCCTAGTAGCAAGTCCAGCAAAGTTTCACTTTCGAGCTTTTACATATGGACCTGGGAGGCAGGTTGAAGGCGCTCAGAGGATCATGTCTGTCCTCAATGAAGTAAAAAAGTAGTTCGAATTGCCCTGTAACAAATCAGGTCCTCGAAAATCAAGACTAGTTCCCAACGGCGCTCTTCATTACACCATTCAATCCTGGTGCAAAGCCAACAAGTAGCTTCGGATACACACCCGAGTAGATCCTGAGACAGTCTGCAAGCTTCTCAACACCCTCGCCCAACACAAAACTAGCATCTATGTATCCTTGAAGAAACTCTTTGAATAAGAGGAAGACTTCGAGTGTATTTGGGAGTATATCAAGGATGCTGGAGCTTTGGCTCATTCAACCATTATTGAGCTTGTATATGTATGCGTTGTTATTTAACTTCATATGTTGCCGCTACACGATGAAGAAAAAAAGATATTAGTGGCTCATTGGGTGATACTATCGACTGTGTTTTTGGTCTTTGCACCTAGAAGCAACAGCTTGGACGCTAGAGTAAGCGCCGCTGAAGAAATCGTCTTACCTACAGAGAGAGTCCAATGCTAAAGAGTATTGAAGCTGACTATCCCAAAACATTCAAAATATTCTAAAATTTGCTGAAAAAAGATAAAAGGTTGGGTTCTCTTAAGCAGAAACTCCAAGAGTTGGAAACATAGCTTAGAATGTTAATCATAAATTTGTTAATCCTCGCTAGATTCACGATCAGCCAAACACATGCTAGTAACTTGTTCACAACTAGATACATGATGTGAGAGTTTCTGAGGTAATAGTGAGGGAGATAGCGAGATCAACAGGGATAAACTGTAAATAAATCCATTGATCCACTATCACACATCTCGTATGCAGGTCGAGATGTTGGAGGCCTTTGACATCGTAGACTGAGATTATCGATTCTAGCATTAATGAGAGTGTGTGAGTGACTTGTGAAATCTGCAATATAAGAAGTTTGTTTGCAAGGCGGTTGGATGTTGAGGTGAAGGGGCACTTGCGATTGATCGTAAATGGGAGATGAATTCAGGAAAGGTAATATTTATGAGAATAGAAATTAGAGGGGATCAGAGATCCTAAAGTTGCAGGCACCGCATAGGGAGGACTTCGATAGAGCTTGTAGAGATATCTTGAAAGAAATATTCAAATTGCCACTAGAGAGATGGAAGTGCATAGAGGGTTGCGGCTGGAGCCAAGGAGTTCATAAAAGCACACAGCAATGCTAAGACAAATGGGAGATATTGGTGTTAGAAATTGAGAAAGTGAAGGATGACGTCAAGAACCTTCGGGACGTCAAAAGTGGTAATCGGTTCTGTCAAAGGAAAGAAGAAAGAAGAGGTTCAACTGCACGAGCTGCATCTTCACTTACAGGGTCTCCGCCATGATGACTCTTACGAAAGCAAGCAAGCTGGATCAACTTGTGGAAGAGTAAAACTCGGATAACCTGAGGCTCAGAAGTGAACCAGAACAACTTTCCTGAGAGAATAACTTTACAGAGTTAGCCATTGCTGATATGTTTGCAATAGACGGAGTGATGAAAAATGCCTCATAGGAATCCAGTTGCAATGACTCTTGAAGATCAAAGAATTGGATTAAAAGGGGGGAGAGCATAGATTTGCCACGCAGATTCGATGGAGACGGGCCAGGAGGCACTCATAACAACGGGACGGAAAGAAGAAATAGTGGATCACTAATAAGAAGACGAGATTCTAGAGCTAAAAGGTCGAGAGATCAAAACGAAAGAGAGATCAGGAGAAAGGAGAGGAAATTGATGATTACCTTTGTTCAACTTCTACTAATAAATGAAACCATTCTTGCCGCAGTGCTCCTTCAAAAGCCAAGCGGAGGAAATCACAAAATGGTGACCAGACTGCTGAAGTCCAAGTAGAGGGGGAGATCGAGGAGTTTGTCCTCTCACTCTCGTCTTTATCTGGAGAATCTACTTTCGACGACTCTGGGACAACAATGCGAATCGGATTTTTAACTGATGACTGGGAGGAGGAGCTGAGCGAGATAGCCTTTTTGTTAGCATGCAGCAGGTTTGCTGGATGTTTCCTGCTCGGCGAATACCTGCAATTTTATTCAAAGAGAAGAACTGGATTGACGAGTTTTTGGAGATGGACGGAAGTTTCTACTAAAATTAGCATGGGTCCCCGAAATGTTTTTTCTCTGCTTTAAACAAGTCAACGAATGCCTAACTTTTAGGTAGATGTGTTTCAGGCTTGAAATCAAATATTGCTGTACCGGATTAGTAGCTTACATGCTGTTCTTGGAGAGGAAGAGGATGAGCAGGAGATTATTGAGAATGTGGATATGGATCATTTTCACAACGATAATGATTGGTTATAGATAAATTGAAACGCATTAAACTCGTCCTTTTATACTTCTATCACACAAACACTATCAGTTTCCCTTTCCTAAGCACATATTTACTAATACAGGTTTGGGTAGTGACTTAGACAGCCGTAGAAGCAAAACAGGTTTTGTATTCAACATGCGAAGTTTTGCTGTGAGTTGGATGTCTAAACTACAGAAGAGCATTGTCTTGTCAACTACTAAAGCAGACTACAAAGCCATTTTTGAAGTTGGTTTGGTTAAAGAATTTTTTGAAAGAGTTGGGCAAAGAGCAAGTCAACAATGCTCTTTTCAACAATACTCAAAGTGCAATTTATCCTGCAAAAAATCCAATATTTCATTCTGAGACAAAGCATATTCAATTGAGGTATCATATTATATATGAACTTAAAGAAGATGGGTCATTGTCTTTGAAGAAGATCTCAAGATCAAAGAACTTGAGTTTTCCAAAGTTGTCACCCTTGAGAAATTAAGGTTGTGCAAAGCATTAGTTGGCATCTACAATTATTGATCAACAGATGCAAGATTGAGAT